ACTAGACCAGGTACAATCTTACCTCTGGTCCGCACATCTTCAGGACGGCATCCCCGTTCCCTCCCGTCCTACGGTCCATCATCTTGGAGCTCAGTCCTTCCTTAATGAAGCCAATACTGGACAGCAGCTCCGCAAACTGGTGCTTCATGCTCACAATCATCTGACAGAGTAGAGACGATATTCCAGGAAAGTCACAAAAACTTTCCAATCATCTTGGATCATTACTTTACTGAATACAGTTCATTTCCTGTGCACTCTTGATTGCAATGGCACACTATTTTGTGTATCTTTCAGAAATGTATTTTCACTTTTGCATAGACTTTGCATTCATAACTCCAAACTGTTCATCCCAACACCATGAGGTTCCCTGAACTGGTTAGGTGTACTGCATTTCTCTATTCCTGTTCATTTAATGTATATGCACAGATTGTTGCCACTTTGGACCAACTTATGAACAAGACAAAACAAACAGCTTGGCTTTTGGAGCTCAGATCAATTTGAGGATAGCATATTGGGGAAGCTGGTGATACTGGCAATTGTAGCTGGGTTCTGAACTGCCAAGTACCGGTATCAGTCACTTTGTACACCAGTACAACATCATGAGCACACGGTGATCTTGCACTCTAAATAGCTGAAAATATTAGTTGGGTTTTTTCCTCTTTACATTTCTTCAAAAAAATTATGCCCTAGTATTGACTGCTTGTTGCAAATGAGGAATCCTGTATTTAACCTTGTTCACTGTAGGTCCCGCAGCAAAAGATGAAAATATGCAATCAAATTGTCAGGTGTTGTAGTCGAGGCTATGACAAGTCATTTCATAGAGCCAGTCACAAGTATCAGAGTGAATGACGAGAAATTAATGCTTTCTGTCACAATTTATTTGATACGCATGTGACTAATTTGTAGGTGATTTGCATCAGTCCAGACTGTCATTTTGCATGGACGCACTGCTAAAGCATTTCATTATGGCAGGGACTGTGGTTTTCCAAATTTCAGACGGCAACCTGTTGTAGAAATACATTTATGTTGACATTACTACTGACATGCACTGATGTCTTGTGCCTACCTGGAGTGTTTTTAGTGACAGGAAGTTCTCATGGCAATATCTGTATCCGTTGTACGATCCTCGCTCTATAGTGGTGCTCCAGCCCTGGAAATGAGATCACAGTAACATTGATCATTTTATTACCCATGACATGCATTACTTATCATCACTGGCCCTTTTTTCACTCATTATGTTATTTGTTTTACCTTGTAGGCTCTTAGCAGAGTCAGGTGGTCACTGTTGCCGATTGCAAACTCCAACCTCTTCTTGTCTGCATGGTCTCGCTTGTCAAATGGTGCCACCTGGGCCAAATAATATCATTAACAATGTGCCATGTCTTAAGTGCTTCACAATCATCCCCCCTCTGCATTATGCCATGAGATCAGTTTGGAGTACTATTTTCCGCTCCGTCCCTCAGGAACTCAACTGATACTCCTGATTGATAAGCCAACTGCAGTCAAGTGTACGGCCTGAGAACACACCCCTTCAGATCCACACTGTGATTTATACCCAAATACTGCTGACTTTTAAGTTAAAGTGTAACCAATACAAATCTACAAAACAGCACTACCATCTGCAACAGTTATGAAATGATCAATCAAATAATTCTGACACTCTCAGAAACTCTACCTGCTTAATCTCTCTGTTGAATTTTTATTGAGTGCCATGAAATTTTGGTTGAAGAATAACTCTTTTTTTAAATACAGAAACAAAACTTCTATAATTGTCCAAGTGCTCCTTTATTTACACAACATGAATCAGCCAAAAAGCTCTTAAAAGCCACCAGAATTTCTCACCTCCTCAAGCAGTTAAAAAAAGCCGGAACAAGTTTTCTCCATATATTTGCAAAGTGTGTTTAAAAAAATGAAATTCTTACAAATGGTGACTTGAAGCTGAGACTAGCTGCAATGGTGAGCACAGGATCAAGACAGCGAAAGATGGCTCCAAACAGCATGAGTTTGCCGATGCGGACATCAACTGGTAAGGAAGCTAAGTGATAGCCCAGGGATGTCAGGCCCTGTAATTTCAAAAAAGTACAAGGCAAAGAAATAAACAAAAAAGAAGAAACAAATAAAAGTATTTGTGTGCAAATGCTGAAATTTGACATGAGCATCAGGCAAACCTTGGTTCACTGTACTGCAGAGTGACAGCAAGTTTTGAGAAAAGAACTCTACAATCTTCCTACACTTTATACATTTTCCAGACTTCTATGCTATAATGTGCCCATGTAGTCCAGCATGTAATGTGCACATGTAGTCCAGTATGTAGTGTGCACATGTAGTCCAGTATGTAATGTGCACATGTAGTCCAGTATGTAGTGTGCCCATGTAGTCCAGTATGTAATGTGCACATGTAGTCCGGTAAGTAATGTGCCCATGTAGTCCAGTATGTAATGTGCACATGTAGTCCAGTATGTAATGTGCCCATGTAGTCCAGTGTGTAATGTGCCCATGTAGTCCAGTAAGTAATGTGCTCATGTAGTCCAGTAAGTAATGTGCACAAGTAATGTGCCCACGTAGTCCAGTAAGTAATGTGCCCATGTAGTCCAGTAAGTAATGTGCCCATGTAGTCCAGTATGTAATGTGCCCATGTAGTCCAGTAAGTAATGTGCCCATGTAGTCCAGTAAGTAATGTGCCCATGTAGTCCAGTATG